CCCACCTGGGTGAAGTGAGGAAAATTCGTGTAAAGTGCCTTTCCCAAGGACACAACGTCGGGTCCCTGACGGGATTCGAACCCACGACCTTACGGTTGCGAGTCCGAGAGCCTAACCACTAGGCCACCGACGCCACACTTAGGGGTCAGTCTATTCACCATGAATGTCAATAAAATCAACACTTAGTTTTAGTTTTAGTATAAGTTGTCGCACTTGCAGCAGAAATAGGTCATACACGTGTCTAAGATTAGAAGTGTCACTAAAAAGTAATGTGCAAAGAAAAGAAGGAAGAGAGATAAAAACTACAGACGTTTGATGAGAAATAAGAAGAAAACCACACTGGGGCAGGTTGCTCTCGTGACCTAGAGGTTAAGGTATTCGCCTCTCATTCAATAGCTCCCGGGTTGGAATCCAGAATGCGATGGAACATTTTCTCCTCTGAAATGTTCTCCTTTCTCATCCTTTCCTGTTCTCTAACAATCGTCTGCTTTCGTCTATATTTCTGTCTCCATGCCCCTTCACCTTCTTTGCTCCCTCCTCTGGGCCCCTGACTCTTTCTCTAGTCTTTCTACTGCTACTCCTTGGCTCCTTCTTACTGCTGTCTTTCAGCCCCGCCCCTTTTCATATGGTAGGAAAGATATACAAATAGTCGTCTCGGACAAGGACGAAAAATCTCGGAGGTCCCATGTGCAAGTTGGGCACGTTAAAGATCCCTTGATGGTCCAAAAATCGATAAGAGTAGCCTTCGGTCGCCACCCGGGCAAAATTCAAAATCTCCTACCAACTGTCCGTGCGCTCATATGACCTTATTATGCAGTTGCGAGCGCCGTAAAACATTTACCCCCCAAATAAAAAACCTACAACAACAACAAAGAAAAAACCCCTAAAAAAACAACCCAACAACAAATTAACAACAACACCGGGGCATGCACCAACCACACACAATCCCCACTTAGACTAGTCTACTCACCATGAATGTCAGTCAAATCAACACAAAAAAATGACCACTATTGTCAATAAATCAACACTCAAATTAGTCTACTCACTGTGATTGTCAATAAATTAACGCTTACATTAATCCAATCACCGTGATTGTCAGTCAAATCAACACTTAAATTAATTTACTCTCCACGATTGTCAGTAGAACAAGCGTTTACATTGGAGTGCTCACCATGAATGCTTCCTTCTATGTTATTAAGTTGGGAGAGCGATATGTTGAAAAGCTCACCATAGTTTTTTTTTTAAAGTTCATTGTTGGTTTCATGTGGGCTATAGATCTAGTTTTTTGTTCAGCTTTGGGGTTGGGGGACATGCTCAAGACGAATAACTCTTTTTTTTTCTTTCTTAAAAAAAAGTAAATTCACTAAGTATTGAAGACAGTTTGGATTAAGAAAGTTCAGAATTAATTGTATCACTAGTGCTTACGACATGAGTGTAGGTCAACTAAGGTTGCATCCTTGAAAATTATGCTAATTACTAAGTTATTACTAGATTTAATAATCCGGTTTCATAGAGATCGGAGGAGTGTAGAGAGAGGGAGAGAGGAAGGTGGGAAAGAGAGGGAGGTAGAGAGAGGGAGGGAATGGGGAGAGAGAACGGGCTAGAGAGATAGGAAAAGAAAGAAAGAAAAAGAAAAGAGGCTGGGGGAGAGAAGGAGGGAGAGAGAGAAAGAGAGAGAGAGAGAGAGAGAGAGAACAAGACGTGTGCAAATTTCCAATGGAAAAAAAAAACCCTCCACAGGCGCGCACTCAGCATGGATCAATTCTCAGTTGTTGCTCATCAATACTTGTGGCAAGCAAAACATTCTGTATGCAAGTTGCGCTCGTTACCTTCTTATTTATACAACTGGACACAGAAAAGGTTGCGGAATGCTGTCGTTTTCCTTAGCAGAACAATAGCAGTTACTGTAGACAGGGTTTTGGAACAGATTGTATAGTTCATTCAGAAACGTGCCACTTGTGTGGTGAAGAACAAATACGTGAATAGCAGGAGGAGGAGGAGGAGGAGGAGGAGGAGGAGGAGGAAAAACGACAAAAAACTGCACCCCCGGCCCCAAACAACAAAAACTCCAAAGACCGAAGGATTGGACCAAAGATTTGTTTTCTGCGAATGGCGATGGGACATCGCGTGATTTTATAAAATAGATAATTGAATGTTTGTATAGAGAAAGAGACAAAAGGGCCTAAGCTTCATGGTGCACGGTGGTTTTGTAGGTATTTTCGACTTCTGCAGTTAAAAACAGTTTGTACAGTTTGTGAAAGCCAATTTAACCGCTCTTTGGATATAGTTGGGACGTAGGATATCCTGTCTCCTGAGTACATTTTTAAGGTTGAGAAGGGCGTTAAATTCGTACAATACAACGAAATGCAATTCTTAAAGTTTTCTTACCACTAATCTTTCTCAAAGCTCGGTAGACTCTTCGTAAAATCTTACTTGAATAAACCTAGGTTCGTCTCTTTCTCACAATATCTGCCTGTAAAATCTAATAATAATAGATAGCATTTGTATAGCGCAAATCCCCGCTCAACAGCAGGCTCTATGCGCTTTACACT